GATATATATAAGTTTCTGGTGGAATTTCTTTTTCTTTTTCTTTTTTTTTTTTTGAGACAGAGCCTCAAGTTGTTGCCCTGGGTAGAGTGCTGTGGTATCACAGCTCACAGCAACCTCCAACTCCTGGGGTTAAGCGATTCTCTTGCCAAAGCTTCTCAAGTAGCTGAGACCACAGGCATCTGCTATAACGCCCAGCCATTCTTTGGTTGTAGTTGTCATTGCTGTTTGGCAGGCCTGGGCTGGATTCGAATCCGCCAGCTCTGGTGTATGTGGCTGGTGCTCCAGGTGCTTGAGCTACAGGTACCGAGCCAGGCACTTGGGCTTCTTCCATGACTTAGCAGTTATGAATTGGGCTGAAATAAACATTCTGGTGCACATATCTTTGTTATAAAGTGATTTTTGGTCCTCTGGTTATATACCTAATAGAGGAATTAAAGGATTGAATGGCAGGTCTATTTTTAGATCCTTAAGTGATCTCGAAACATCTTTCCAAAAGGAACGTATTAGTTTGCATTCCCACCAGCAGTGCAGAGGTGTTCCCTTTTCTACATCCACGCCAACATCTGTGGTTTTGGGATTTTGTGATATGGGCTAATATTACTGAAGTTAGATGATATCTCAATGTGATTTTGATTTGTGTTTCTCTGATGATTAAGGATGATGAGCATCTTTTCATGTGTCTGTAGGCTGTATGCCTGTCTTCTTCAGAGAAGTTTCTCTTCAAGTCCCTTGCCCACACTGAGATGGGATCATGTATTTTTTTTTTTTTTTGCAGTTTTTGGCTGGGCCAGGTTTGAACCTGCTGTATATGGGGCTGGCACCTTACTCCTTGGAGCCACAGGCACCACCCGGATCACGTATTCTTTTTTTGCTAATACGTTTGAGTTCTCTGTGGATTCTGGTTATTAAACCTTTGTCAGAGACATAACCTGCAAATACCTTCTCTCATTCTGAGGGCTGTCTGCTTGCTTTACTTACTGTGTTCTTGGCCGTGCAGAAGCTTTTTAGTTTGATCAGATCCCAGTAATATATTTTTGGTGTTGCTTCAATTGCCCTGGGGGGGTCTCCTCATAATATATTCTCCCAGGTCAATTTCTTTTTTTTTTTTTTTTGAGACAGAGCCTCAAGC